TCTCTTCCAGGCAGCATATCAATGGGTCTTCTTTTTTAATCCAATCTGATGGCCTGTGTCTTTTGATTGGGGCATTTAGCCCATTTACATTCAGGGTAACTATTGAAAGATAGGAATTTAGTGCCATTGTATTGCCTGTAAGGTGACTGTTACTGTATATTGTCTGTGTTCCTTTCTGGTCTATGTTGCTTTTAGGCTCTCTCTTTGCTTAGAGGACCCCTTTCATATTTCTAGTAGGGCTGGCTTCATGTTTGCAAATTCTTTTTGTTTGTCCTGGAAGCTTTTTATCTCTCCTTCTATTTTCATTGACAGCCTAGGTGGATATAGTATTCTTGGCTGCATATTTTTCTCGTTTAGTGCTGTCAATATATCATGCCAGTCCTTTCTGGCCTGCCAGGTCTCTGTGGATAGGGTCTGTTGCCAATCCAATGTCTCTGCCATTGTAGGTTACTGACCTCTTGTCCCGAGCTGCTTTCAGGATTTTCTCTTTGTCTCTGAGACTCGTAAGTTTTACTATTAGATGTCGGGGTGTTGACCTATTTTTATTGATTTTGAGAGGGGCTCTCTGTGCCTCCTGGATTTTGATGCCTGTTTCCTTCCCCAGATTAGGGAAGTTCTCTGCTATAATTTGTTCAAATATACCTTCTGCCCTTCTTTCTCTTTCTTCTTCTTCTGGGATCCCAATTATTCTAATGTTGTTTCATCTTATGGTATCACTTATCTCTCGAATTCTGCCCTCGTGATCCAGTAGTTGTTTATCTCTCTTTTTCTCAGCTTCTTTATTTTCCATCCTTTGGTCTTCTATATCACTGATTCTCTCTTCTGCCTCATTTATCCTAGCAGTTAGAGCCTCCATTTTTGATTGCACCTCATCAATAGCCTTTTTGATTTCGACTTGGATAGATTTTAGTTCTTTTATTTCTCCAGAAAGGGATTCTCTAGTATCTTCCATGTTTTTTTCAAGCCCAGCTAATATCTTTGTAATCGTCATTCTGAACTCTAGTTCTGACATTTTACTAATGTCCGTATTAAGTCCCTGGCAGTCAGTACTGCCTCTTGTTCTTTTTTTTGAGGTGAGTTTTTCCATTTTGTCATTTTGTCCAGAGGAGAATAGATGAATAAGAGAACAAAATGCTAAAAGTGTAACAATGACCCCAGAAAAATATACACTAAAGGAATCAGAAGAGACGTGAGAATGGGGGGAAAAGAAAGGGAAGGAAGAAAAAAAAGAATATGATCAGGCTGGTGAATAGATCAGAGCCACACACTAGATTTTGGGCATATTTTGGTCTGTTAGAAGAAACTGCCTCCCAAAATTTTAAAGAAAGAAAAACTTATATATGTACTAAAATAAGGGTAAATACGATGAAGGGATGGAATATGACTGTGAAGATGAAAATTATAAAAGATTTTATAAAAGGAATTTATAAGATAAGAAGGTGGTTGAAAAAAGAAAAAAGAAAAAAAAGTGAGAGAATGTGATCAGGGAGGAGACTAGAACAGAACCTTACACTAGAGATTTAAGGTATATTTTGGTCTGTTAGAAGAAACTGTATCCCAAAATTTTAAAGACAGAAAAACTTATATATATATACAAGAAATAAGGTTAACTACAATGAAGGGATAGAACATGACTCTAAAAATGAAAATTAAAGAAGATTTTAAAAAAGGGATTGATAAGATATTGCTTGAAAAAGGAAAGAAGACAAATTAAAAAAAATAGAAAAAGAAAACATAAAGGAAATTTAAAAAATTAACTTTGAAAGACTAAAGAATCATGGGAAAAAAATCCATGAATTCTATGTGCAGTATTCCCCTAGCGCTAGAGTTCTGCCATTCTCCTTGATTGGTAAACTTGGTCTTGGCTGGCTGTTCTTGCTGATCTTCTGGGGGAGGGGCCTGTTGCCGTGGTTCCCAAATGTCTTTGCCTGAGGCGGAATTGCCCCGCCCTTGCTGGGGGCCGGGCTAAGTAATCTCCGGTTGCTTTGGAGGCCAGAGTGAAATGGTGGCCTTCCAATCTCTGCCCCGGAGGAGTCGAGAACTCGGGGCCCCACTGCTTAGTGAGTCCCCAGAGAAAAGCAGTCAATCACTCCCGTCTCCCCGGTCAATGGCCACACTCCTTGCTCACCCGGCCTGTGACTGAGCATTTCTATCTCTGGCAACCGACCCCCTATGGAATCTCCAAACCCGGTAGATCCCTGCAGTGCACTCCTGTGCCGCTCCTCCCAGGGGAGGAAGGGGAGTCTCCCCGGCTCTGCCACTTGTTGGGTCCCTGCTGGAGGAGCCGTGGCCCGACTGTGCCACGGATCACCGTTTATGGCCACCCCGAGCTGAGAGCCCACTCCTCGGCTCCGTCTCTGCCGCTGGCTTCCCCGCTCCGATACCTGGGAGCTCTGCCGCACTCAGGCACCCCTGGTCTTTCTGTGACCCCGAGGGTCCTGAGACCACCCTGTCGCGCGAGGGTTCCACCCCCCCCGCTTAGCCACTGGAACGATGTCCCTCAGTGGAGCAGGCTTCTGAAAGTTCCAGTTTTGTGCTCCGCTGCTCTATCACTTGCCGGTAGGGGCTGATGGAGGCTCCCTCCCCCCGAGTTCTATCTTCCCAAATATCGCCTCGGATTCACTTCTCTGCGTGTCCTACCTTCCAGAAAATGGTCGCTTTTCTGTTCAGAGAGTTGCTGCTATTCTTTTCTTCGCTCTCCTATTAAGTTTTTCAGAATGTTCAGAATGGTTTGATAACTAGCTGAATTCCTGGGACCAGACGAAACAGGTCTACTCCTCTGCCATCTTGCTCCTCCTCTCCTATCATCTGTATTTTAAGCCAATTATGTATTTAATTGTAAGATTTTTTTTTTTTTTATGGGGGCACCTGGATGGCTCAGTCGGTTAAGCATCTGCCTTGGGCTCAGGTCATAGTCCCAGGGTCCTGGGATCAATCCCCATATCAGGCTCCCTGCTGTGCAGGGACCCTGCTTCTCCCTCTCCCTCTGCCCCTCCCGTGGCTCATTCTCTTTCTCTCTTGCTCTCACTCTCAAATAAATAAATAAAATCTTTAAAAAGAAATTGTTCTTTTTTTTTTTAAAGATTTTATTTATTTATTCATGAGAGACAGAAAGAGACAGAGGCAGAGGGAGAAGCAGGCTCCCAAGGAGCAGGGAACCCAATGCGGGACTCGATCCCAGGACCCTGGGATCATGACCTGAGCCGAAGGCAGACGCTTAACCATCTGCCACCCAGGCGCCCAAGAAAATTGTTTTTTATGGACCTTTACATTTGAAAATATTTAATATCCTATAATTATGCTAACTGCATTATGTAATGAAAAAGTACACTTACAAAAAATATCACTGACATATATTTTAAAAGTTTTCTTTTCTCTGTATAGTTTCTGTTTCCTCTAGGTTGCTCTTTACTCTTTTTGTTTTGATCTCATGTTAATTGCATTTTTCAAAAGTTTGGTGATCCTTGGCTCTCTGGCGCATTTAAGAATGAGGCACTAAAAATTTTGTTGGGAGATCTGAGCCCCTGTGTGGAGCTCATCCTCCATGGGCTTTACTCTGAGATCATCTGGTTGGGCTTTTTCTTCTTTCTTATTGGGCTGATCATATTCCCCAGAAAAGGATTTTTCAGGTTCTTGCCCTAGCATCATCTGACCTAGAGGGAAGACAGTTTCTCTTTCTAGATATTTTGATCAGTATATCTGGTTTTGAGCCTCATTGCCTAGCTTATACTATATGTCTGTCTCTGAATCAATTACTCTGGCTGAGGGTTGGAGGATATTGATTGGGCAGACCTAGGTCACCTTCTCAGTCTTGGGTGAAGTGGGATTTAGCCATAAGAACTAAGATGGGGAAGGGATTTAGTCTCCAAAGGAATCCCAAAATATTGCAACTAGAGGAAGGGGAAATAAGTGCTGGACAGGCAAAATCAAAAGATATTCAGTGTTTGAGGGTTGTGTTGTACTAGTGGAAATTAAATGGAAAACAATGCTTTACCTATATTTCAGCCAACCAGATTACATGCTGGTCCCCAAATCTGCTGTATGTTCTAACTCAGGCTCCATTCCCTTGTTCATAATGTCCTTTCCATTTGGATGGCATCCCCACTCCCCATCTCTATCAAATTTATATTCTCTCTTCACATCCCTCCAGAAATGCTACCTCTTTCTTGAAACTTTACCTGTGGTTGTTTCTTCTCATAAGCCATTGGATCTAATTATTTCATAAATATCCATTGCATAGCACCAGTCTTACCACTGCAATCACCTGTAGATTTGACTCATCCCACTAATGGATTAAGAACCCAGTAATGTAGAAACAGTGTGATTTGCATCCCTTGAATATGATGTTTCTATTCTTAACTTAGGAATTCCATGTTAGGCGCTCCGTAAATGTGTTGAACTGGAAAATACCTTTTCTTAGCAATTATTTTGTAAAATATGCTTAGTTTTATATGCTTCCGTGGTTTACAGCGTCCAATTATATACTTGGCAGAGTTAAAATGATTGCAGAGACAAAGAACATTCCTAGAGCCTTTAGTGCTTTTGCCTATATTTAGCCAATTTTTTTTAATACATAAAAGGCAACACACAATGGATCATTATTAAGTAGTTGATTTCTTTCTGGCAACGTATTAGAAAAGTTTTGGAGAAAAATTTTATGTAACTGGTTATTGGATACACCTATATGCCCAGCACAGCAATTGGCACATGGTAGGTACTCAGTGAATTTTAATTGAAATAAGTATTACTCTGTGTTGTGTCTTGACAAAGCTTGTAGAATTTTTATCCTGTGCTATTAAATGGTCTTTCTTGTTCTAACCAGAACAGAACAGTCTCGGGGGTTTCTGCAAAGATTTCATATTGCCACTTATCTCTTTTTAGTCATGGGACCCTATGTGAGAAAAGTCTTGTGTGATGAGCTGGGAGCTCCAGCCAATTCTGCAATAAACTGTGTTCCCTTGGAAGATTTTGGAGGGCAGCATCCTGACCCAAACCTGACATATGCAACAACCCTTCTGGAAGCTATGAAAGGAGGAGAATATGGATTCGGAGCTGCATTTGATGCTGATGGGGTAAGTAGGAAATTTCCCTGCCTGCTGACCCTTTTACCAGCTAATAAGCCAAGCATCGGAATCCAGAGAATTCTTGGGGCTGGCTGATACATATGGGGCATTTGAACCCTAACTGGTTCTGCCTCTGCTCTTCTTTTTAATGGCTCTTCTGTATTGCAATTAAATAGCTTTTACTTTTCTTAGTTCCAGGGTATCATTATGTTATAAAAAGGTTTATTTCTTTTAAAAAAATTCATGCAATAAATCTTTATTTATGGTTGGTTTTGTTAAAACTGCCATCTTGAGGAACAAGGTATTTCAGCAATAATTCTTGTATAAGTATATGGAGGGTACTGAAGCTTGAGATAGTCATCCACATTTCAACAGGTGGGACACATTCCTAACTGTGTCAAGGTCCTGGGCCCTACGATACTCAGGAATTTAGAAGAAGGTTTCTCATGCCCCCTTTGGCTTCATTCAAACTGTTTTAGGTTGTTTGTAGGATGGTGGTAGAGTAGCTTGTGATGATTATGGGAATGGCGTGCTAGCAGCAGATGCCTCTGTCTGATCATTTTCACCCATTCCTTCTGACAGGACCGTTATATGATTCTAGGCCGAAATGGCTTCTTTGTGAGCCCTTCTGACTCACTGGCCATCATTGCTGCCAACCTCTCTTGCATTCCATATTTCCGTCAGATGGGGGTTCGAGGGTTTGGGAGGAGTATGCCCACCAGCACGGCCCTGGACAGGTAAGCAAGGATGTCACCGTGAAGAACTTCATGGTAGGTTTCTGATGTCAGTGTCCCCTTCATCATTAGCTGTCGCTCATTCTCCCCCGCCTCACTGGGAATTGTGGGAAGTATGGGAACTTAGAGACCTTTATAGTGCACTTGGTAGAGGCATGAAGAATCAGGTGGCCTGAACTTGATCCTTAGTTCTGCTACTTCTTAGCTGTGGGAACTTGAGAGCCATGTGATCTCTGTGCCTCATTTTTTTGCCAGTCTTTTTTATTTTAGCAATTCTAGTGAGTACAAAATATTCTTTCCTTTTTTTAAAAATTGAAGTGTAAATAACATATAGTTTTATATTAGTTTCAGGTGTACAATATGATTCAACAATTCTATACTTTATTCAGTGCTCATCATGATGAGTGTACCCATGATACCCTTCGTCTGTTTCACCCATCCCACCCCCCACCACCTCCCCTCTGGGAACCGGCAGTGTGTTCTCTGTTCTTAAGAGTCTGGCGTTTTGTTTGTGTCTTATTTTTGTTTCTTAAATTCCATATACAAGTGAAATCATATGGTATTTGTTTTTCTTTGATGGACTTATTTCCCTTAGCATTATATCATATTATATTTAATAATTGAGTAATATTCCATTTCTATGTATACCATTTCTTCTTTATCCATCATGTATGGGTGGACACTTGGGTTGCTTTCATATCTTGGCTATTATAAATAATGCTGCAATGTACATAGGGGTGCGCCTATCTTTTCAAATTAGTGTTTTCATTGTCTTTGAGTAAACACACAAGAGTGGAATCACTGGATCATATAGTAATTGTATTTTTAAGTTTTTGAGGGCCTTTTATACTCTTTCCACAGTGGCTGTATCAATTTCCATCCCCACCAACAGTGCATGAGGGTTCCTTTTTCTCCGCCTCCTTGCCAACATTTGTTATTTCTTGTCTTCTTTATTCTAGCCATTCTGAGGTATGAAATGATATCTCATGTGGTTTTGATTTGCATTTCCCTGATGATGAGTGATGTTGAGCATTTTTTCATGTGTATGTGTATTGCTATCTGGGTGTTTTCTTTGGAAAAATGTCTATTCAGATCCTCTGCCCACTTTTAATTGGATAATTTGTGTTTTTATGATTGAGTTGAATAAGTTTTTTTATATATTTTGAATATTAACCCCTTATTGGATATGTCATTTGTAAATATCTGCTCCCGTTCAGTAGGTTGTCTTTTTGTTTTATCAATGGTGTCCTTCACCGTGCAAGAGTTTTTTTTGCTTTGTTTCTCTTTCCTGAGGAGACATTATCTAGGAAGATGTTTCTGTGGCTGACAGCCAAGAAATTACTGCCTATGTTTTCTTCTAGGAGTTTTATGGTTTCAGGTCTCACATTTAGGTTTTTAATTAATTTTGAGTTTATTTTTGTGCATGGCGTGAGAAAGTGGTCCAATTCCATTCTTTTGAATGTAACTGTCCAGTTTTCCCAACACCATTTATTGAAGAGACTGTCTTTTCCCCATTGTATATTCTTGCCTCCTTTGTCATAGGTTAATTGAGTATATAAGCATGGATTTATTTCTGAGCTCTTTATTGTTCTGTTCCATTGATCTATATGTCTATTTTTTTGCCAGTACCGTTTCCTTACTGATTTTGATTTTCTAACTCTGTGCTGGGCACTGCTGTAAGCACATTCTGTAAACTCGGTAGTCATCATAACTACACTGTGAGCTCATTTTACAGATGAAGGAACTGAGGTACAGGGATGTTAAATAACTTGGTCAAGATCAGGGCCTAGCAAGGGTGGAACTGGGATTCTAACCAAGCCACTCCAGCTCCAGAGTGCATGGTCTTTTTTTTTTTTTTTGAGCGGGGGTGGGGGGCGGCAGAGGGAAAGAGGGAGAGCAGGGGTTGGGGCAGAGGGAGAGGGAGAGAGAGAATCTTAAGCAGGCTCCACACTCAGTGCAGAGCCCAACGTGGGGCTCGATCTCACAACCCTGAGATCATGACCTGAGCTGAAATCAAGAGTCAGACGCTTAACCGACTGAGCCACCCAGGCGCCCCCGGAGTGCATGGTCTTAATGACTCTGCAGTACTACTTCACATGGGGTGGTGGGACTCTAAGACCCATAGGAACCCAGAGAGGGGACAGGGGCCTCCGAGGAAGCTGCAGGGCTTACTCTGAGTTTCAGGTGCTGATGTGACACCCTTGGCTGCCCAGGCTTCCAGGTGACAGCTCCCCAGGTGAGGCCTATGTTAGTCATGCCCTCTAACCTCAAGTCCTCCCCCGTGCTTCACGTTGCCCTCGGTCCCATCCTCAGAAGCGAGGAGATGAGGCTGCACAAGGATGAGGAGAGGGACCCCCAGCACAGTCACCACCCCAGGAAGTGGAGCCTCAGTGGGAAGAATGAGAAGGCAGGACAAGGGATCCATTCCTCTTCTCCCCTGCCAATGGGATAGTGGGCTGACCACTGGCCAGGCCTCCTCCTGAGGGTGGGGCACAAATGAGACTCCTTAAGCTGTGGAGCAGGGCATGGGCTCCAGGGCTGTTCTGCTCCAGGCCTCAGTAGAGACGACAAATGAGAAGCAAGACGCTGTCCAGGCAGGAGCCAGAGAAAATGGGGCAGATGTGCCAGGCAGCCAGAATAAAGGGCATGCACTTGTCTGCTGCGTGCCAACTCCCCCCACCCCCGCCACCCCGAGAACCTCTGTTCTCACCCAACAACTCAGGACTCCTAACGAGCTCTTCTGGGCTCCCGAGGCCTGCTCCCCAACCCTTGGCTTCTGTAACTCAGGGTGTTTCTCCTCCAGCCATGTGGGTTCCCCTCCCCACCTCACATAGATTTAATTGGTTTTGATTTTTTTCTTTTAAATGGGAACTTCATCTTTCTCCTAAAGGTTCTCAGAGACTAAGGCTGAAACTGGAGTTGCATTTCAAGCCTCTTACCACTTTTAACAAATAGAGCCCATTCTTTGGCATGCTTACACTCAAATTGACTTGGTATCGATTTGACATTCAGCTGCTTTTGCTGACCTGACTCTCCCTATAGTGCGAGTAGCATTTGGGTGTTGACCCTTGCTGAGGTGAAGGGACGATGTGGACATGCTCTGATCATTTTGTGGTTCCATATCCTCCAGAGATACCAGTCCCACATTGCTTATATCCTGGGGATCTTTGTATACTTTGACTCTGAGAGCAGTCAGGGTCAAGACCCTGGGGTGTCAGCAGCTTGTTGAGAAGCAGATCTTTTAGAGGAGGGAAATTAAAAGCAAGATCTGATGGGGTGGGGTGGAGAGGCATCTCTTGAACCTCACTCTGAGTCTCCTTGAGTCTTTGGTATCTATTCCAAAGATAGATGGTTTGTAAACCACAAACTATACATACAAACCATGGTGGTTTGTGGTTCCATTTTGATGAGGATGAGGGAAAAAGCCCTATGCATGGTCCTCAAGCCAAAAAGATACTGCGGTCCTTAAAACACAAGTCCCAAATGCACATTTATATCCTGCAAGTCTCCTGCCAAGTAAGCCTTGTGTGCTTTGAAATTTTCGTTTTTCTTTTGGCTTAGGTTTGCATCGTTGTCATAACCAGTGATGTTGAGCTCCTTTTCATAAGCTTATTGTCCATTTGTGTAACTTTTTTGTTATGTATCAGTTCATATACATTTGCTCAATTAAAAAATTAGGTTTTTTTTGTTACTGATTTATAGAAGTTCTTTATATATTCTGGCTAATGTCTTTTGTCAGCTATATGTATTGCAAGTATTTTCTCCCTGCCTGTTGCTTGCCTTTTCATATTTTTAGTGGTGCCTTTTGATGAGCAGAAGTTTTACATTTTGATGAAGTTTCACTTATTAATATTTTCTTGTATAGTTAGTATATACTTTTTGTCCTCTACAAGAAGTCTCTGCTTGCCCAAAGGTCAGAAAGATGTTTTCCCTATGTTTTCTTCTAGGATTGTTGTAGTTTTAATCTTCACATTTCAGTCTATGATGATTTTGAATTAATTTTTGTGTGTGGTGAAAGGCGGGGGTCAAGGTTTACTTCTCCCCTATATCCAGTAATTCCAACCTTGTTCATTGAAAAGAATTTTCTTTCCTCTTGGTGCCTTTGTTGACCATATAGACCCTCTGTTTGGGTCTATTTCAGGATTCTCTATTTTCTCTCATTGATCTTTTTGCCTGTCCTTATACCAATATTATAGTGTCTTGATTATTAAACCTTTAAGGTAACATTGAAATCAAGTGAATCCCCCAAGTGTTTTTTTTCTTCTTGGCCAAATTAAGAAAATGATACATCCTAGCTTTTTTTGTATTTCTATATACATTTTAGAATCAACTTGTCAATGTCTACCAATTGTGACAGTTTTGATTGGGATTGGGTAGAATCTATAGAATAATTTGGGGAGAATTGCATTTTAATAATATTGAGATTTCCAGTTGACAAATATGGTTTATCTCTTCCTTTTAGTTTTCTTTAGTTTCTCTTACATAATTTCTAGTTTAATTTCTCTTATGTATGTTTTGTGGTTTACTGTAGAGGTCTCACACAATTTTTGTTAAATTTATTTCTGATTATTTTCTATGTTTCTAATGCTATTATAAGTGGAATAGTTTTAAAAATTTAATTTTCCAGTTGTTTGCTGCTAGCAATTAGAAATACAACTGATTTTTGTATCTTGACCTTGGAATCTTCCACCAGGAAGAATCTTTTGGATGCTCCCCACTTTCCTTCTCTCCCTCAGGAGATACTGATATCAAGCTCATGCTATAATCCACACTCAGTGCCTAGTGGCACCAAAGAGTAGGGTGTATTATTCCACATTTTTTTCCATTTGCTTTTGCTTATATCCTTCCAATAAAAAGGAAGAAAAAAAGGATTCAGTAAAACTGTGGAGAAAAGGGCAAAAATGGAGCCATCTTTAGACATTGAGGACTCAGGCTCATACAGGATCCTGATTGCTACGTAGGTTACTTAATATTTATGGGAGCATATTTAATAATACCACCTT